GGGGGGGGGGGGGGGAAGAGAGATCGGTGAGGCTGGAATATTACTCAGGGTAACAACGCAGGTGTATTGAGGTGGGGGAGATACAAAATATGTAAAAAGGGAGGCGAGGCCGTGTCAGCAAGAGGTACATGACGCGTTTTAAGAGCCATGTTCTCAAAAGACCCACGGGCAGAGAAAGCACCAACTCTCACCCTGATTTCATTGGTTATTTGGTTTCGTTTGGGACATCAACAGGAATTAAGCTCTGTCGGCTATTATACACTACGAGCCAAACACCTTTTCGCTCCTCCGCCGTTGTCAATAACCTCTGTGCACACCAACCCCCACCCGAGGAGCGAACGAAAACCACGCAACTTGTATCTTGTATCTACGACAGGGGGGGGGGAGGGGTACTCATAGTCGTGCATGCCGTAGTCGTTAGACCATTGACCTCGCATCCCTACAAAGCCGGGACGGAGCACGCCGGGTTCTCACCGGACCAGGCTCTCACATCACCAAGCGCGAAGCGCCGTGAGATATTCGGCGAGTCGCATGAAGGGTGCGCTGCATCCTGCTAAGGGTGTTCGGCATCTTGTGCTTACTTCCTTGCGTACGGATGACAGCTGCGTATGAATTAATTTATTTTCTGGTGCTTTCACTTCCAGAGACAGTTGTAAGCACTGTGTAACTGCCTCGAGGGTGCTTGACCATTTCAACACAACGTGGTGCGATCATCCCCCTTGCGCGGAGTGAGGGTTCACCCCGCACAACATGATCTACTCAACCACCATTGTATGGTTACCGCCAAAAAAAAAACGGAGGTAAATAAAAAAAAACGGTAACCTGGTTGCCGAGTTCACGAAGTGAATTGGCTTGTTTTACAACGTCGTTGCCAAGCGACGAAAACCCAATCCCGATGGCAAACACCGATGGGGGGGCGAGGGGGGGTGCAGAAAATGGGAATGGGGAGCGGGGGGGAACATACCTGCATCCTATCCCCGACGGAAGAAACGAAGACCCGTGCGCCGTATCTCCTCAGGAAATCGATGGCTCCCTCCAACAATCTTACCAGGCACACATCGCTCTGCCTCACGCTCAGAGCATGGAGCAAGGACGAGAGCACTCTCCGCACTAGCTGCTTGGGGGCTGGTCTTATCTCTTCCCTAGCCAAAACTTCAGTAGCGCACTCATCCTGGGAGAAGGTCGTGGGGACGGGGTATGTTTGTGCGTGGATTTTGTGGGAGGATCACTTTCGCCTGAGGCACTACTGTAGTAAACAAATGTAAAGTAGTTGTACCAAAGAAATGCTTGTTGTTAGCTGAACCTCATCAAACAAGATCAAGATCACTCCCTCTCCCCGTCCCGAAGAAAGCCTCCTGCCCCCACACACGCAAGCATTGCCACAACAGGCGACGCCCCGTTTGTCGTGCGCCTCTGACTCAAACTCTCGAATATACCCCCTTGAAAAATCGTTTATGCATACCCACCCTTATTGTCCACCCCCCCGTTCCTCTCTCACCATGAGGGTCAACGTGGCCTTTCTGACGATGGATTGGGCCTGGTGACTGACCCACTTGCTAGCCCTCGCGCGCTCCTCCGGAGAAAGCTTGGTATCGACGCTTTCTACCCCGAACACCAGCACCGACGGTTCCGATTCTCTGCCGCCGCTGCCTCCACCGCCGCCTCCTGCTGCGGTCGGTCGCGCATTGCGGCAGAAATAAGTTGAAACGACACGGGTAGCTATTGAGACCGTTCATAAGCAATAAGTACAACAAGAGCAATGCCGGACGTACGGAGGAGGTACAATCCGACAAGAATATTTCCAACTTCAGTTGGGGTCTCAGTTTAGCGAACCCTGTTCAGCGACATCCCATGTTTCGCGACCACAAAACCACGTGGCACCGCAGCAACCCGGTAGTGTAACTGCTATATAATTAGTAGTTCGATTTAGCGACCTGCCCTGAATAGTGGCCACATTTCGTGGTGACACTAGAGGGTCGCTGAACCGGGTCCCCCACTGCAATAGGAACATGGTAAGCTTGCTTGCCGTTGGAACGGCTGCCGCCGCCGCTGCTGCTGCCGCCACTACAAAAAGGGGCGAGCTACTTTTATCGTATCACCAGCACGGGCAGTATGGCTATCAAGAGGAACGCACATGCATATGGGCGTACTCAAAATTTCCACCGCAAACGGCCACACGGAACCAAGGCATTCACCTCCGCTACAATCAAGCATCATTTTCATCGAGGATGTAACAGGAACAGCAGCAGTGGCCCAAGAGCGAGAAACGAAATACTACATCGTGAGACTGCAAACATCAGTAGCGACAGCAATAGCAGCAGCAGCTGCAACAGCGGCAGCAACAGCAGCAGAAGCAGGAGCACAAGCAATGCAAACGGCCGTAAGAAGCACCAGCGAACCAGCAAAGAGGAACGGTCGGCTCACCTTCCCTGTCGACGTGGCCGGGGTACTCGAACGTGTCGATGCACAGCTCTAGGAGCCCAAGTATTCGGAACACCTGTGAGGCGTTTTTTTTGCCGCGCGTGTGCAATGCAGCGTTATTGACGTTTGGGCGAGATCCTCGCCCTTCACTCTCCCCCCCCTCTCTCATTACCAATCACCACCCTCAAAACATCATCACAACATCGCCAAAACCCACCTGACACTTACCGGTGACGATCACGAGATATCTTGAAAATGACAAGGACGGTGAGCGCAGTACACCTTACCAAAAGTCAATATACAGCTGTGCCCATCTCCTGGACGCAAACCCAGCCGTGCATCACCAACAAATAGGAGTCGACACGCCCCCTCAACAAGGCTACTACCAAAACTCATGTCCGAAAAAAAAAAGCAGCCAAGACCCAGAGCGCAACTTGGCCGATCCAACACTTCATATCCAATATGTCCGCTTTCATAGAAAAACTTGCGTGGACTACAGCAATTCCTCAAAAAACACCCACCTGGAACTCATCGATGATGAGGTACCCCACCCCGGCGCCTTGAACCTCCTGCGGCAGCGGCGCCAGCGCGTGAGCGCCCGCCAGCGTCCGATCCGCCGCCGCCGCCCTCCCGAGCCCGAGCCCCAATCCCCCCATCCTAACGCTACCGGTGCCGGCCGACGGGAAGCCGACTCTCACGGAGCCCCCGATGCCGGCAGTACCTCCCCCCCCGGGGCCGAAGCGCGTGGCCCCCCCCGCGCTGCTGAACGGCGAGTAGACCTGCAAGGAGGACGGGGAAGACAGCGAGAGCGAGAGTCAAGGTTGGGTAGATGCTAAACCTGTGATCGATCACCCTTTTCTCGCACAAAATAAAGAGAGCACACGCCAAAAACATAACAGGTAAACCAACACACGAGCACCCGCCAAAAAAAAAGTCAACAAACACGGGCACCCACCTCCTTCCCTCTTTGTGAAACCAATCAAGAGCCAGAAAGAAAGAAGCGCACGAAGATGTTACCCACACGGGTAGACATCGCTGTATGCTGCACGGGGGACTGTAGCGTAGAAACAAGGGGAGTGTCTCTAGCGGATCTAGTGCTAAGTGTGCAGTGCGCCCGGCGTGTGCGTGTCGCTGCTGGCGCACGGGGCTCTGGACAGAGATGGAAGTCGTTGCGATATACCACTCCCTGTGCAACAACACAAAACACAATCTATCTCACCGTTCTGCTGGCGTGCGGGGCTGTGGACAGAACTGAATTATTCGTCAGGCTATAAGAACAGCTAGACTACACGCTGTGTTGGCTGGTCGCTAGCAGTGGGGACTGTTCGGGTCTTATTTCGCCTGCTGTTTCTCCAGGACCCTGGTACTCTTTCATTGTCTGTGCAGTAGCCTTTCATGTTCTCTGCAGCATTGTAGCTGAATTTCCGCTCTGAGAGTATTTCATCATTTTTCTTGCAGGACGGTAGCGCTGAAGTAGAATAGCGAAGAGGACCTTGACAACGTAAAACAGCCCCTCTGTCGAAACGTTCAAGGCAAAGAAATCAACACACAAGAGACGAAGGAGCAAACACAGAAGGCTCTATTTTGTCAAGTACCATACAACAAAACAAGCTGCCGCTGTTCTGCCTGTCTCCTGTGGGAGGGCGCGCCCTTTCCCCGTCATTCTACACTCGCGCTTTGGAGACTGCCCCTTCCTGAAAAGCGTGCCAACCGAAAAAAGAGAAGAAAAAGAAGACATGACGAAGAGCCGCCCGCGGTGGTTCCTCTGCTGCTATTAATAGTGGTGCCGCTTGTTCATCTCCGAACCGCAACGCTTCCAACCTTCTCACGCCTGGGAAAAGGGGGAAGAGCGTATCATCGGGGCGAGCGCGCTCCGCCATGGCGGCCGCCTTCTCGGAACGGTGGACCCCCAAGAGAACAACAACGCTCTTCCCGCTGGATCCCCCCGGTGAAGGGCGATCGTCCCCGCTGCACGGAGCAGCCACCCCGTNGTAGGATTGATAAGTACCGGGAGTCGGCAAAGGGCCGTGGATTCTACGCCGCTCACATCTGGGCGTGCCCTCCGGCGCAAGGACAGCAGAACTATGTCCTGTATCGCCACGTTAAGTACCGTACACCGGCATGGAAACATTAACCTTGTTTGAAACCACAAAGGAGCAGGATTGCGCTTGAGCACGGTCTTGTACTACCGAAGCACTCCTGGTGAGAGGATTAAAACAGTAATCGACCGGGTGAGCTACCCTTGTCTATAGCTTATGAAGCATCCAACCGACGGGGTGGCTGCTCCGTGCAGCGGGGACGATCGCCCTTCACCGGGGGGACCCAGCGGGAAGAGCGTTGTCGTTCTCTTCGGGGTCTACCGTTCCGCGAAGGCGGCCGCCATGGCGGAGCGCGCTCGCCCCGATGATACGCTCTTCCCCCTTTTCCCAGGCGTGAGAAGGTTGGAAGCGTTGCGGTTCGGAGAGGGAGCGGTCGTGGCACGACAACCGAGACATCGTCGGTTTGCTGCGTTCGCTGGTCATTTGTAAACTGCTGCATGCTGGTGTTCCCACTTTTTTTTGCGCCGGACACCACCGTCATGCTTTTTACCCACGGATGGTTCATGTAGAGCCACACAGTCCATACACCAGCCCCCGTGTCTGCTGCTCCCTTTCGAGCAAAATGACCACACAGCGTTTCCACCGAAAGCATTGCTGTGTTCATGGATTCCTTGACCGGCAAGAAGAAGATAAAAGGTTTTCTTGGCCTGATTTCCGAAACTCCGTCTGCGTATTCTGAGCTTCAGCAGGTTTATCCCGAAGTCTGCTGCTGTGTTCTGAGCTCCATCAGCTTGCCATGACGCCAGTTCAGATCAATCATCTGCTCGCCGCCCAACGTGCTTGTCTATCTTCGTGCGTGCTTGCGTCTTTTTGCCCGCAAGGTCAGCAGCACTGCGTCTTACTTTTTTATTTGTGTTATGATTCCAAGTTTGAGATGGAAGAAGCTAACCATCGAATTATTGCAACAAGAACACCAGCGTGTTCACTATGCATAACCACATTGCAAATAACCATGGACCGATTCGTTTGTTCGTATGCCGTTCGTTGCTGCTGTCTCTCCACCTCAACCTACACCAAAGGAACACCAAAGGAACACCAAAGGAACTGCGCCTTTCGGACAAGGTCGCCGACACGGACGACTCTGCTGTCGCGGCCAAGGACCTCAAAAGAGACGTGAGCATCGGTTCGCGACTTTACATGACTTCCTTCTTTTTGGCCATGCGCACAGAATCATGGGTACCACGTGTTGTGTGCCTCTCTCTTCTACAGTATTGTTTCGTTTGTGCGTGTGCAACTGCATGTTACCACGTCTTCGTCATCATTACTACTCAGACGACTTTGTTCGCATTCCTCTTGTATTCAAGCGCGTCAGTTAACCCACTCGAGAGGTGGACCTTCTGTCGATGCATATATTTTTTTTAGTGTTCATCACTTAAAACCAGCGCTCGCTCCACACGTTTGTATCATTCCTGAACACGTATGCAAGAACAAACGAAAAAAAAGGAGGAAATCATGAGATTCTCACCGTGCGGTTCGCCGGCGTGTGCGTGTTGCTGTAGGCGGACGCGGAAGCCAGCGACTCCGACGAGAAGGTGCCTGCTGTGCCCGTGCCGGACGAGAAGCTCAAGGACGCCCGGCGGGCCGCGGGAGACGGCGTGCCGGTCCCGTTGGAGCTGCCGCTGCCGCCAGCGTTCGCCTTCCGCCCGAACATGCGGAAGAACCGAACGCCAACCTGCACATTTTTTAGGGGGGGGGAGAAGGGGGACGAGCGGTGAGAGGAGAGGTGTAAGAGGATCTAGACTGTTCGATGTCAGACAGAAAGAAGCTCTTATTTAGCTGGTGAATCAGAGAGGCAAGACTGCCGTACGGGGGGTACAGCAGAGTACATTCTGGAAGCGACGGGAACAGATGGAACATCGCGAAAGAAAACAAAATCACGCCATGTGCCACCGCAGAGGGGATAGAGAGGTACTGCTGTTGGGTGCCGCCTGAGTCCGAGCAGTGGCTGATACAAATAAACATGCACAACAACGACGCTCACAGCAGTCACAAGCACCCAACCAAAACGACAACAACAGCCAAAATAACAATCATGTCGAAACGACGCCAGACGTGCCCGAGCTACGGAGAAAAACACTTCAAGGTAAAAAAGGGCCAATGACCAACGCCCGAACACGCTGCCTGCTGTGGTGTGCAGGTGTTACGTACGTCCTTCCACATCTCCCGGAGAAGGGCCTCTGGCGCGTCTTGCAGCACGTACAGCAGCGTCGCCAGCATCTCGCGTCTCTCCGGTTCTCTGGGATCCATCGCGTCCAGCTTCGACACCTGATGATACAACATTTATTTTTTTGTCAAGAGTCGCTTTTTACATCAGATCAGCGCTCACAGCAATCTCTGCGATCCATCGCGTCCCAGCTTCGACACCTGAAGATAAAATGATGCATACATGCTAACAAAACAATTGTTTCGTTCACCACATAACACGGTGCTCGCAGCATTCTCTGGGACCCACCACGTCCCAACTGATCAAGCAACGCATATGACGTCAAACGCTTTCTCCTTGTTGCATTGGAACACTCTATAAAACTCAGCGTCCACATCATTTATTCCCGATAGGAGTTCCATCCGTGAGCACACACATAAGCGGAACATCCAAGGTGCACTACCACTTCCAGAATATGGCACAAATGAAGAGGAGAGAGCAAGAATATCGAACAATGAAGAAAAGAGAGCAAGAAACAAGAGGGAATCAACCACCGTCGGAACGGAGATGGAACTCCAAAAAAAAAACGCAGGGACGAGTTAATACCGTCACGACGGCGAAACTACGGCACCCTTTCGACTACTTTTGTTTCTTTCGAAGACCCGGTGCTGTACCGGCGGAAGGGTGGTCGGTACTACATACGGAGACACAGAACGAAGAACAACACAACAGTCTCTCCCTCCCTCTCCAAGCTACAGCAGTAAAATACGCTTATTGCTAAAAATTAGCATACTAAGAACACTTTCTCTGGTAACCGAGCAAGGGCCCCTGAAGGGTTGATAAGGAGTGATTAACCGCTTACCAGCCGAGGTAATTCGCTTTTGTTGTTGCAATGTGGTGAGGAATTCGAACACCCTGGTTTCCACACTATGGAAGTCTTAGAAAGAATAAATCTACTGCTGCTGCAGCCGCGTTTTTTTCCCCGCGGACCGCAAGGCACGGGCCTCATTGGTTTTTGGGGGTTGGTTGATTACACACCTTGGCCGCGATGTGGTGGATAAGGGGCAGGTACATCGCCGCCACACGCTGCCGGCTATAGCCGTCCTGGTACCTGTAGTCGTACGTGTGGAATACCTGTAAAAACCAGACAAAATTATTGTTGTGAGGGGGGAAAAGCTTCTGACAACAGTTCGAAAGTTTGGTGTCACGAAAGCACTGGCATTAAACTAAGGCAAGCAGATGCGCCTGTTACGAAACGAAGACTCACTGCCCAAAGAAGAAGCCTCCGAAAAGCGGACGAAACAAGAGATGAGGTCAGGACAGTGTTCGTGTTTGTTGTCTCCCATCATCGGACTCTGTCGTCTGCCCCTCTGGCCCCTATCCTCCACTTCTACTAGCTAGACGACCCAACCGGGGTCACATAGGAGGGGGGGGGCTGGACCCCCTCCTGCGGTTCCTGCCTGAGGGTTTTATCGCGAGAAGGGTACAGCAATCCCTTCCCTCGCGACTTACGAAGTCGATTATGGTTTACTAACAACGAGCTTTGCAGCGCGTCGCTTTCATCCTAGACCAGGACATATTTAGTGAGAAGAAAAATATCACTCTGCCGGGACTCGAACCCATGACCTGGCCCTTAGCGGGCCGAGAGGTTACCCAACAGACCACCGGGGCGACCGTGTGTTATGTGAGTTCCTGTAAATGGAGTTGACCTCACCAACCGGCTGACCAATCAAATTATTGAGAGCTGATGATTCTTGAGGCGGGACACACCGAAAACGCGAAATCAATTCCATGTCTCGTTCGCGGGGCCCCTCTACAGCGAGCGCATTTCTTAAATTCGAATCGACCTCGCCAACAGGCTTGACAAATGGCAAGGACGATAGTAGCCTTCGTTCAACGGGGACAACAAAACTGTGTGCGCTTGTGTGTACCCGTGTCAAAGCATGCCGTAGATCATCGTTCATCGTTAGATCTTGACCTCGCATCCCTACGTTTCACATTTTGTTGGGGGGGGGCGGGGCTACGGCGAATACTATCATACCTTTCAAAGACAAAAATACAAGCGGACGTGAGAGGGAGACGGGGGTACATACGGAATCTCTCACCTGGAGCTCTCTCAAGAGGGCCAAACCCGACATTCGCACCGTGGGAATCTCATGGTCCGTCGCAGATATGCATGCCTGCGTAGAAAAACACCATGAAATCGGGGAAAAGAAAAGGAAGGTTGTTCGTTCCCTCATCTTAGCGCCTAGTCAGGCACTTGCGCTTCTGCGACAACCTTCAAATAATACATGTTTCACTCTTCGTGCTTCAAATAATACCATATTTGATTTTTCGTGCCTTGAAATCACTTAGGCAGCCACCACGCGCGAGCCGTCTTTCCGCGTGTTGGGGTGTGTTTCTTAAGGTGCCTGCCGTCAAAACCAGAGCCATCAACCGACCAACCAGCCGGCCGAAGATAAGACAAAACGCATTAACACCTGGATGCACAGCTCCAACAACCAGCCAAGGCCGAAAAAATACTACGTAGTAACAACTGGATGCACAGCTGCAGCAGTCACCCGGCCGAAAAACAAAACAAGAATAAATACAAACGTAACAGTTGGACTAGTACGGTATGGAGTTGAGAACGGAACGGCGTGAAGACAACAGCAGCAGCAACAACAGCAACAACAACTGCTAATGTCAAGTCAACAACAACAAACAACAATCAACAATACCTGGATGCACAGCTCCAACAGCCAGTGCGGCTCCAGGCTGTCCGTCGCCGTCGCCGCGGCGTCGAACTCGAGGGACCCCAACCGAGGACGCAGCGCCGAACCCGACAGGCCGAGACCGACGCCGTAGCCCCCGCTGGGCATGCTGTACGGCCGCGCAGGGGTGCCAGAGGTGCTCGAAGACCAGAGGGCTAGGTCGCGCTCTGTCTTGCGGTTCACCCCGGAGGGGATGAGGCGGGGGGAGTTGAGCGCTACGACATGGTCGTACATCGCTAGCCGCCGCAGGAAGCCGAGAGTAAACTGCGTCTATATTTTGGGGGGGGGGCGAGCAACAACAACAACAACGGGGGGGAGGGTCATCACGGGGAGGAAGAACAACGAGGCATGCTTTGGCGGGGTACAGGGGAGAGCGGGGACAGAATCGTTGTGTTGCCCGCCTCGGCCGCAATTGGTACCACCGTTTTCGAATCTTGTCTCTTTTCAATCACGGCATGACGACCTCTCTTGCTACCAGCGGGATTCCGCAGCCCGCCACCACCCTCATCAAATAATTAAGAGGGGCAAGAAACAGGGAAGGGAAGCAGCCTCCCTACCACCACCGCCGTTACCGCCACCAACGCCACACCGAGTAACACACCCAAAGCACATGCTGCGCAACCCACCCATCATCCGCACCAACCCCCCCTGCAGACACAGCGCACACCAACACGCCACACCCCCTCGTCACCCCTGCCGCACAACAAAAGACCCTTCCGGATACCTCCCCCCCCATACCACGGCACTCTGCGTCGCCCCCATGCACAACAAAGAACGCACCTCGTACAGGGCGTCTTGACTCGACCTCATGACGCGGATGTAGGACCCGCACAGTCTCGCTGCGTGCGCCGGGTGCACCACCGCGAAGAGGTCTCGGATGAACCCGGCCAGGGAGGAGTTGATGATGTCGGCGTGTCCGAGCGTCTTCGCCTGCGGTGCCGCCATATCATTCGCGTCCCAAACAGCGTGTGGGTAAGTGTTCACACAAACAGCGTGCCCAGGAAATCCACCGGCGCTAGAGCGGACCGGCACTATTCAGCGTAACGAAAATCAAATTCAGTGTGTGCCCCCCGACAACACCGGCTCTATACCGGGCATTGGTAGTATGCAACAGGCCCTGAACAGGGACCCCCACTGCTGTGGGTATGTGTTACTAGGCGCGCCCAAACGAAGGACAGGGCGTCTGTATCCACAAACAGCGTAGTAGATTGTGTTCGAATAAGGCCGTGTGTATTACAAACAACGTATTAAGTGGGTACGAGTTAGGCGCGCCCAAACGAACAAGAGGTCGCACGTATCATACGCGTGGGCAGTGCGGAGCGACTTCTGTGGTGACTGCGCACGTATATGGTCAATAGGCCGTGAGTACCTCCTGCTTGTTAATGCGAGGTAGGGGGGCCGTGAGACTTGCCTCTCGAGCACTACTACACTAAAGGCCTGGTTCCGACACAAGCAGGCGGGAGTGTCGGTGGACGTCGGAGTAACGCCAGCGCGAGCGCGCGCGGGGTGTGAAGCACGGCCTGCTCTTCCGTACAGCACACCGCATCACCGGACTGACACATATGCATACACCCATCCCACCCGTGGCAGCGCCACGTTGTCGCAGCGAAAAGCTGGCGAAACACAGGAAAACGGGACTTCGCGCGAGGTACACAGCGCAAACAGCAACAACGAACGACGACAGCAACCGTACACGACAAGACGACACTGCAATGTCACCTTGTCAAAGCAACGAAAAACTTGTCTTCTTGCAACGCAAATGGAACGAATAACAAGAAGTAAAAGAGAAAAGCCAAAATCATGACTTGACGTGAGGTATACAACGCAACGACGACGACGACGACGACGACGACAACGACAACGTCGCAAGCTCACCTCACTGATGTGGCGTGTCACGAGCACGACGAGAGTCTCCAGCTCCTCCAAGAAGGAGTCGTCAAGCCTGACGGGAGTGCGAAGCTGACAGAAACCGAACCGAGGTTCCGCACACCGCCGACGCCGCACACGAACGGCGTTTCGTTTCGTGGCACGCACGACCGAAGAACGGTGATCGAGGGTGGGGGGTTGATGCGCTAAAGCAGAGTCATGTTTGGGTTATAAGAAAACGTAAACCAACCTACATACCTGATGCTCCTCCTGTTCCCTCTCAAAACAAAGTCTGTTCACAAAGTTAGAAAGGTATTGAGGGGCTCAACCCTTACACCTTAGGCCAGAACCACTTCGTCCCCCCCCCCGCGAGACTCTGTCGTCTGTCTGTCTGTGTCTGACTGACTGACTGTCTGTCTGTCTATCGGTCTGTCTGTCTGTCTCTCTCTCTCTAGACGAACAGAGAACCCCACTCCCTTAGCACTCTAGTTTCAGCTTCTGAAGCTGTGTCTTTGCCTGCATACCGTACCGCACCTCACCGTGCCATACCGTACACCGTACCGTACCTTCTCGTAAATGACCCTGAGGCTGATACTCTTCAAGATCATGGCCAACAGGACCGGCGTGTACACCTGCGACAGCACGCTGCAACAGCACCGACACAGACAGACGGAGGGAGAGGCGGCAGAAAAGACAAGGCAAAGTCAAACAATTGAACACACCACCGAAAGGACACGTATCGACAGGGGATATTGAGGACCATGCGGGTGGGACACCCGTCACAAAAGACAAGAAAAAGTCAAGACTCTCAATTGGACCACCTAGCGAGGGGAAACAAATCGACAGGTGAATTGACGGCCACGCGTGCGGGAAACGCACCTCGAGATGACCACGCAAACACACACAAAATAGAGGACGACAAAGGAAAAAAAAGCAGAGGGGCGGGACAAGACCTTGGGCACAAAAAAAACAACCACACAGAACGGTGCAAGACTTAGACGCTCGTACTGTAGGAAACAAAAAGCAACACCACCAAGGGACAACACGACGCCACTCACGTAGTGTGCTGTGGCAGGGTGTCCTGCGTGTACGGATACCCCGAGTTGGCCCCCGTCCTCCGACCGGGCTCCTCCATGCCCCCTCTCGCCGTGGCCAGCACCTCCGTCCACTGCACCACCAGCACCTCGTACAGCCACGGCCACCATCTTGGGGAGGGGTTCCCACACATCGAGGGGGAGGAGGGGGGGGGAGGGGGCACACTCATGTTTTGCATGCTGTAGCGGTAAGACCAATGACCACGCGTCTTCGAGAGGACGGAGCATGGACCTATCACCCATGGCCAATCTTTCCTTCCTACTTTTCGCCAAAGGTGACTCAAACATGCTTTCCGGGGGGG